TTAGAAATATAAATATATTCGATGTAAGATCTTATATCAAATATTTTTAACCCTTGTATTTATACTGTGGAAAATCTTTGTGGGAGGGATAGCCCGAATAATGTCAGGCCTTCAGGGCCTGTCTGAGAGGGTTGAAGCTTTGACTGAGCTACTTTCGCTGAACTGCTTTGAAGGAGCTAGTAAAAGCCAGAGGCCACTCTGAAAGCCCTCTCAAACACGCACGTAGGCCACATTTGGGACGGTTTCTGCATTTTGGATGAGTTGCATTAACTAAGTCACTTTGGTTGAGTACTCATGTCTCGGATGAAGCTACTCATAATGTCTATTTGGAACCGTTGCTGTTGTTCTAGAAAACAGCCTCATGTAAGAAAAAATGTTGYTGCAGAAAACATCCATCTATTTAGAATCATTTTTTCATTGAAAATGGTATTCTAAGTTATGTTTTAGAAATCGGAAAGGTATGGCTTGAAGTAACGTCAAATTTGGCRTTTCCTACAGCTCGTTGCTGTCAACAATGTAGTGATATGGCAGTGGATAATGGGTAGAAGTGTAGAAAACGTTTTCTGAAACATTGGTATTAAACATAAAAAATTGTTGTTGCTCCAGGAAACGTCATATCCGGCAGTAATAATTCCAAACAAAAAAAGATAAGAAAACAGTACTCCAAACCACACATCAGCAACACCCTTTTTTCAGAAAACGGTATTGCAACTGCAGCGTCGATGCCAAACATATACATAATATCTTTGTATTACAATTACATTCTGACATTCGGAACATTCATATTGGTTTTCCGGATTTCCACCAAACACAGCTTCAGACTTCAGAGGTTTCCATACGAGGATTGAGGCCCAACTAAGAACGCTAAAAGTTGCATCCTCTCCTAAACAGGCACGATCAATTCCCTAGTCTTTTAAAACAAAGATTTCGTTACTCGGTCTATTTTTTTTCTTAAATTAAAGATTGCCCCAAAACTGGCTTACACTAACGAGGTTTTTGGCAAGAGTTTGTTTGAGGAGTAGAGAGTGGATAGAAAGGTTTAAAATGCCAATTAATGAAATTTTGGTTTCAAATAGGTGAAAAGAACATGAGATATGGGATATATCATAAATCATCTGAAAAAATATTTCTCATTTTAGATAGCATTTTAGCTCAAATATTTTGGATTTATTGGTGCTATTTTATACCTATAAATTTTCCAAAGGTCCAAATTTGCTAGAAGATGCTATTTATTTTGATGAGGGAAAATAAAAGGGTGACAAATTCTCACCAATATTTCAAAAGAAGAAAAAAAAGCCCGGAAGGGATGTTTTAATAGTTTAATACTTTGAACAGTGCGCTTTTCTTTTTTTTTTTTTCCAAGATTCCAAAGAAGGGTTCATTTCTATGTTATTTAATTTATTAAAAAATCTTAAAACCTCTTAAAATAGGCATATAGGTAATAGGTTTAAAGATACGATAGCCTTTGACCAAAACACAGCTATCTTGTTTTACATTTGGTAATAAATTATTGGGTGACCTGGTTCAACCAGCGCTACCTTATCAGAGGGATCTTCTAATTTGTAAATAACTACTACTGTTAGGTTTTATTCGCTTTTTGGGAAGTTATTTATCCGAGTAAGTATATTTATCTACGCTCTTTTATTTTTGAAGTAAATAGCATAATAATCCTTTTAATTGTAAAAATTCATTATTAAAAGGAGTAATTTGTTCCATCTAAGTATCGGCAATTTCCCCCTCAGATGAAAAAATTATCTACTCACATATGAGATGGATATCACATATCGAGGGAAAAAAATATTTTCATAAATCTAAAAAATAAAATCCGAATATCTTAATCAATGAAAAATAAAATCCCATTGACGAACTTTCCCTTCTCAGAATCCAAAAAATTAATCAACCCTTACAGCTATCAAATCAACTTACCAAAAAAATGATGTAAAAAATAGTTAATAAGTAATGAGAGAAGAAGCTTCACTAATTGCCTTGGCTTGAGGCATCTCTTCCGCACTCCCTTGTACAAGGCTCGGAAGGAAAGGGGAAACTGACGTGGTAGCTGGTAGGTCGATGTTTACAAAGACATACTTTCCGTCTGGTTGCTATCATCGCTCATCACTCCCCAAGTGTTTCGAAATCTGAAGGAATCGGTGTAATGCCTCAAACTGAGAGGGTGAAGCTTTCATTTTCCACATTAAATATTTCATGTGCGCTTTGTCCATACAATGTACTCACGTTTCCGTGCTATATTTAGGTTCTGTTTGTTTGCATTACTTCAATCATTTATATCAATACAAATGCACGGAATGAAAATCAGAAGATGGCAAATTCTGGTTCACTATTTTAATTTAGGTTTTACTTTATGTTATTTTAAGTTTTATTTTACTTCATTGACACCATAAACATACAAAAATAAAGTAAAATCATATCAACTCATTTTCACTCCCGTACTGCTTGCTAAAGCACAATTAGTGATCACATTTACAGGGCAACTAAACCTTATAAATATAATTAAAGAAAGAGTAAAGGAACCAAATGTGTATAGACCCGAACTAGAAGGTGGCATGACCTGACCTGACCCCAAGTGAATTTTTTTTTTTGGTACTAAAACCCAAGTGACCAATTGACCATTGACTCATCTAACGCGTGGATCAACCCTAACCGGAATATTTAGGTTAGGGTCTAGTCTTTGCAGGTTTAGTAGTGGATTAAGGTCCTTCGTAAATGGTGATGATCTTTGCTTTATTCCTTTTTAGTCTCATTTTGTTTGGGCTAAGCCGGTTCTCAATCAAGCCTACATGTAACGACAGGCCTATTCCAGTCCTTTTTTTTTTGTTTTTTGTTTTTTATTTTTTTAAACTCCAAAGTCCCATAGCACAAACAAAAAATAGGGGTGCTCATGAAANAAAAAAAAAAAAAAAAAATTGAACCGAACTGAGAAAATTGAACCACAAAATCTGGTTAATGGAACTGAAAAAATTGAACCACAAAATCCGGTTAACGGAACCCATTCTATTTAAGTGTTAACGTTTTTCCCTTCACTCTTTGTCTTCGGCTCTTTTCACTTCCCAGCCAAAATAGTGAAAACACAAACTGAGAAACCCTAGAGACTTCATATCCGTTCGGTCACAAATTTCAATTGTCCTCATCAATCATCACCTCTATCTTCGTACTCCGTTCTCCAACCTTATTCCTCCTCAGTCCTCCCCAACTGAGAAGAGCTTTCACAACTTATAGTTTTCATTAGTTAACCACATATTTTGATATACCAGTTCGGTTTCAAACATACACTCCAACGGTTGGATTAAATTTTGGCCCAGCATGACCAAGTCTTAATTGGGCCCATTAATGGATCTTATTCCCTTTGCACCAGATCGGCCGATCCCTCCCTAACTTTTCTCTCAACCAAGGTCCAACCAAAGAATTGTTCAGTCAAACAAATTGTACGGCCACACTAAGCCAAAAAGGAACCTAAGCTCTTGGGCTGCCTCATCTTATTGCGACAAGCCCACATTTGTCTACTTACTCGATCTATATCATTTAAACTACAAAGCTCACTAGTAGACAACCATAAGGGCCCACAACGAATCCGGACCATGTGAAAGATTTCCATGTCTTTTAGCTAAAGCGGGTCCCATTGTCATGGGAAACCGCTCATCGTTATGTATGAGGCCCCTTATTGTTTTATCTTTTTATTTTTATTTATTTTTTTAGTGATTAGGTTTTTAAAGAGGTTGTAAGGTTTTTAGGCCTCGTTCGTTGAATGATAAGTTATTTATTTGGGTAAATATAATTATTTGGACAATTACTTTTTAAGAAATATATGTTCGGATAAATGCATTTAGGACTTACAAGTTTTTTTTTTTCCAAGTAAAGTAATACAAAAAAAAAAAAAATCAATCATGTGTTAACGAATTTCAGAGCAGAGCAGATGGGAAATTGATTTACACAAGTCTATATATTTACCTTCGAAAATCATTTCTTTTCTATGAAATGCACTTATACCAAATCACAAGCCTCTCTATAGGGTTTCTTGTTGGGTATTATCCATACCTTTTGAAAATAAATTTTATTGTTTAATTGTTTTACCAATTAAAATACAAAACAATAAGATTTTGATACCTTTCATTTCAGCAATTTCAGCCATTGTCAAATAGCCCCTATGTCATTGTTTGGATAAAATTTTTATTTTTTGTATTAACTAAAGCGCATTAGCACAACAATAAATCCGTGTTGGAATTCTGCTTTCCCTACCCAAGCACAGCTAAGGAATAAGAATAAATAGTTTCTAGAAACTCATCCAAATTCCAAACGACCCCAATGTAAGCAGAGGGGGAGGGGGCCGGATGGGGGGTTGGCAGGGTTTGTCATGTTGTGGGTGGGTCACCATCAATCCATATCAGGATTTCATCGAGATTTCTATTGGTCCCCACGCATGATTTAAGTTGGGCCCCACCCGCTTACCTCAAAAGAAAGATTGAAACCGACGCAAGACAACTGACGTTGTGATGGATGTGATTACTTAATCACATTGACTTCCGAGCTTTGGCCTACGAATGCATTATCCATCTAAGAAGCTCTGGATCACCCTAGTCCTCTCTCGAGAGCAAAAAGTTAAATTCTCCCCATAACGTAACGTATTCACATTCTTCACACACATAATTTGAATCCTTGACTTTGAGCACTGTACCAATGTGTTTGGACCGTCTAATTTCTGAGAGATGAGACGAAACAAACGTCTGTTTAGGTTTTGGAAATATCTAGCATCCACCATACACGTCCCTACCTCTCTGTTAACACTGTCATGTGATGGACCCCACCTCTTCAACAGAAAATCAGTGGCTCTTGTCGCAGTATATGTGCGTATATGAACGAACACGCCTCTCTGATATTTCAATTTTCAAAAATGTCGGTGCTATTTTTTTTAGCTCCTTTTACTATATTTAAATAAATCCATAAAATTAACAAAAAAAAAAAAAAATTGACACTGAAATTTCAGAATAAAACAAATGAAAATGAGAATATACCACTTTATTAATAAAGGGTAATTGAAATAGCTTAAGAAAAGAAAAGAAAAGCTTAATTAGTATTCAAAATCTAAGGCGGGTACTTGACCCAAGTTCTTCTTACCTTCGTCAACATGCATAATTGCTTCACTAAAACCACACTTAGAGGATCCGAAGCGGGTTTCCGGGGACTCCAAGCGGTTTTCTGGCGAACTGGAATGGTTTTCAGGTGCTTCAGAGGGTACAGAGAGTGTGCCTTGACTGTACAAACTGCTCAATTGATGGAAGTAAGGACAAGTTTTGGAGTCAAGAGACCTCTTCTTGTTTGCATCCTTGGTTTTCCTGAAGTACTTGTTTATGTTCTCCCATTTCTCTTTGCATTTCTTTGCACTTCTCCTGTAACCCAGCTCCAACATTCCTTGTGAGATTCTCTCCCATATAGGAACTTTGTTTCCATCCTTATCTTCGGTGCTGTTGTAGAGGTTGCACCTCAGGTTTATCAGTGAGTTCACTTCATCTCTTGGCCATCTCTTGCCATGGTCTTCTCTGTCGCTGGATGTAGAATTAGGGTTTTGAGGGGGCAGAACTGCAGTCGATGATGAAGTGGGTAGTAGTACTGTGTTGTTTTGCGCAGTACGGGAGTTAGGGTTTTGGGGAGCCATGGCTGGAGTTGAAGAAGTGGGTACTATTGGATTGGCCTGATGAGAAGTAGTTGGATCAGAGTTCTGGGGTTCTGATGGGGCTTCAGAAGACGAGGTTGGTGGGTTTGGGTTAGCAGATGAACTGGGTTCTTTAAGGTTAAACTGGGAGAACGTATCGGATAAAGAAGTAGGCTTCTGTGCTGGGCTTGAAGACGGTGAAGTGAGTCGATTCTGCTTATTGTTTGTTGTCTGAAGGAGATCTTCGTTTTGCACCGAGAAACCAAGGTTCTGAGATGGACCAATTGATGTTAAATTCTGCAGGAGTTCAATGATGGTAGCTTCTCTATCGCGTGCAACCTCTTGCTCGTGTTGCCTAGTTTCGATCTCCCTGTTAATCCTGATCATTTCTTGCTTCCTCCAAGCTTCTTCTCTTGCAAACCTTTCCTCCTCTCTTCTTTCCATATCTTGGAGGAGCTTATTCTGCAACTCTTCTTGCTGGGCCATGATCTTGTTCACAATCTCTTCACAGAAATTCTTCATCAATTCGAGCTTGTGATGCCTCTTTCTCTTCTTCACTTTTGATTTCTTGACCACGTATTTATTCTCAACAGGTGGGTTCACCAAGCTCTCGTTTCCTGAATTGTCTTCCAAATTCAGTGTCACCTTGCCCCCACCTTCATTAGTTATTTCCACCTGCTTTTCGGCCGAGGTCTTAGGGTTTTCACCTTCATAGACGGCTTCAAGTTCACTGAAAGACCTGTAATTCTTAGTGTAACTGTTGTTGTTGTTGCTGCTGCCGCAGAACCTGCTCATCTCTTCAAATTTCTCCTTGCATTTGTCAGGGCTCCTTCTGAACCCAACCTCTGCAAGCTTCCTGATATACCCCAAAAAAATGCACAGAAACCAATAACACATGTGGATGAGCTGAAGCTATTTTTCTTTTTAAATTTGTTATATAGCAAGTACGAAGAACTAAATTATTTCAACTGCTTGAAATTGAATGGTAGCTTCGGGTAGCTAGCTACTAATATTCATCATTCAGTTCTGAAGAGAAAGGAAAAACAGACAAAAAAAAGAACCCTAAATAAAGAGTGTATTTATGTATCATCAGCTTTAACAAACTTCCTGCGTCTTCCGCAGTTGAAGCGATTACGATTTTTGGCAGTTAAAGGGTGTTTATCCAAAGATTAAGAATAAAAAAAACTTCAATATTATCTCAGTTTTGAAAACAGTGGCGGAATTTGAAGTGGAGGCATTAAATACACAGAATCATAACAGTTTAAACTAGAAGGAATCATGGGAATAATAAGATACATACCTGGAAACATGTTCCCAAATGAAATCAGAAAACCCAGTTTCTATGGTAGATCTGGCTCTCAAGAGTGCAAGTATTTCCTCTTCCCTCCATGGATCTACCAGTTCGGAAGTGGATTTGAGTCCTGGGAGCTCCATACTTGAAGTCATCTCCCTCTCTTCTTCTTGCTCTTCATTTTGGACCGACGAGGAGTGTCGGTGCAATTGGTGAAGAAGTAGGGAGTGAGACTGGAATAATTGGTGATTTGGGGGGGAGGGATCCAGGCCGGAGAAGTAAGGAGGAGGGGAGACATGGAGAGGTAGAGTGAGTGGAAGAGGGAGTGTGAGAGCTGCTCTTGAGGATATGAGTTCGTGGAACTGGTCTGGCACTCCATTAAACATATTTGAGATCTCTCATTACCACTCTTTTGCTCACTGTAAATGAAAATCTTCAGCAATGAACCCAACAAAAAGCGATCTCTCTCTCTCTCTCTCCAAAGACTTTGTCTCATACCACCGAAATTAATATAAAAAATTGTTTAGAATCCTATGCAGTAGCTGACGCTGATGATCAGATGATGAGGCAAACGGATACTCAGCACACGTGACTACAGGCAGGGACCAGGGTCCACCGTTTTGAGAGAGCGAGCTGCGAGCTGTGGGAGAGAGAGAGAGAGAGGTCAGAGGTCCCATCTCATCACCCGGATGAGGAATAGTGCCAGTGGCCCAGTGTCCGTCTGGTGTTGACACGGATTCTGTCAATCCCACAACAACTTTTTTTATGTGTACCATGCGTAAATCAGCAGGACCCATCACGAAGATGCAAACTTGTCGACACAATATCTGTGACAAATGTCAGATGATTGCAAACTATCACCTCTCGTCTTCTATACTATTTTTGTTCTTCTTAATCTATATTATTGAATGAAGTAGAAACACCAAATATTATAGAGTTGATGTCGTTTTAATATTAATTTTAAACCAAACATACCCTAAGAACCTTATGGCTCTGCCTTTCCTCAAGGGGGGGAGGGGAGCATTAAAGAATTTGGTATATGGAAAAGGCTTTTATAAGTAGAAATGTATGAKTTACATGAAATAGAAAATTGTTATAAAAAATATTTATGAATAAAATTGATTATTTTATTATTAAATAGGATATGATGTATGGTGAGAAAAATCATTAATAAATTGGGGCTTTCCCACCATTTTTCATTGCTCAGTTAAACAGCAGAGAACAAGAAAAGTTGAGGGAAAGTTCTTAAAAGAAATTTCACAAAATTCGTTAAGAACAACCTCAACTCCCCCAACTTTTTGTTTCTCTTTTACTTTCTTCAAACCAAAAATGGCTTTAGGTATTTGAATGTTGATTTATTGCATTGGCATTTATTAGAATCCTACGCCAGCAAAAGTTAAGTTGGGGATACGTTTGACTATTCTGTCATGTAGACAACAAGTCGTTCAAATGATGCACTTTTCTAATTAAAATTAGAATCCCAAAGATAAGCGTCACTTGTGGCATAATTAGTGTAGGTAGCCTTTCACTTAGGCTGCATTTGTAATCAGTGAATATATTGATTAAGTTTTACACTAAATGAGAAAGTGATTGTTGTTTTTTTTTTTAAATAGTGATGGGTGGAAGAGTATAAAGTTTTATCGATAAAATTGATGTAATTTTTATATCGATTATTGATGTAAAACTTTAGATCTTACATCGATTATCGATGTAAAATTACACTCCATCCAAATGCACGTTGATAATAATTACACCCTCTTTCCAAACGTATACAAAATCGAACCAATGTAAATTTTACATCGGTTCTTGATTTACATTGTATCCAAATGCAGCCTTAGGGGTGTTCATTATACGGTTCAAACTGTAAAATCAAATCGAATAAAACTGAATTTATCGTTTGATTCGGTCTAAATTTATAATGGTTTGATTCGGTTTCATGAATTTAGAAAATACGGTTTATGGTCTACGGTTTGGTTCATTAAATTTTATGAACTAAACCAAACCGTAAATCGTATTAATATAAATATATAATAATATATATCGAATAATATAATTTAATATATTGATATCAAATTTCAATTTTTAATTTGTACTTATGACTTTCTCTCTCCTCTTTTCGATACCTAGCCAACTAACCTTTTGTTTCCCTTTTGGTTTTCTTCTTAGAGAGAGAGAACACCGAACGCCTAACGGAGAAAGTGAAGTTTTCTTCTCAGAGAATGCCGAGTCGCCGATGATTTAGTGGTGTTGGCTTGCCGCTGCCGCAGGTTTAGTGTCGCTGGTCATACTTTCGTTGTCCGGCTTTGCAGTAAATGTTCTCTCTCTCTCACTCCACCACTGTCGTTGCTTCCATCTCCCTCTCATGATGTTATCTCTCTTCCAACCTTAACAAAACACCCTAACCAAGGAGGCCAAGAAACCGACTTCCTCTGTTCAACTGACAAACCCTATCCACCCTAGTCCAGCGATTTTGGCTGGCTGCTACAATCTCTTTATCATATTCCCATCTCCTCTTTAGTCTATTCTATTATTTGAAAAAGAAAAACCCTAATGGCCTACCCTTTATCTCTTCTATCAACTATGAGCACCCAAGAGCATAACTGGAACTCTAGAAATACAAGAACAAAATTCGAATTTGGGCTTGGGAGAAAGGTAAAACATTAAAGAATTTTAGAATTTTGGACAAAAAAATTTAGGATTTATTTATTTGTTAATTATATGTTTATAAATATAAGCATGTATTTAGCATTAGAATGCAGATGCTTTATATGAGAATGTTTATATTAATATTCAGATTTATTTAACTGATTATTTTACATTGTTCTTAAGTTTTTTGGTTTTGTTATGCATTGTATGTATTTAATTTTTCAACAATAAACTGATTTGTTTTTATTTCAATTTTATTAACAGATTTATAGATAAAATATATTCTATTGTTCTTTGTTCAAATGTTCCTATTTTCAAAATTGTTTAGAACATAATTGTTAATATACTTCACTAGTTCCCAAACCGTATTAAAACCGCACCAAACCTTAATAAAACTGTTTGATTTGATTTGGTTTTTATGCCAAAACGGTTTGGTTTGGTCTGATAATTTCCCAAACTGTAATTTACTAGTTTGGGCTGACAATTTCTCCAAGCCGGACCGTGAACAACCCTACTTTCACCCATTTAGGTATTACATTTTCACTAAATGTGAACTTGTTGTGTTTCTTTCCACATAACACTTAAAACAATGTCTAAGGCAATGAATTTGAAAAATACCAATTTGATTCGGTTTAATTCATGACTCACTTGGCATGATTAGTAATTAAAAATAATTTGAAGGGAAAAATGGGTAAAAAATAATAAATTTTTAAAATTTAACAAACATAAAAACATTGTGAATAGGAGTCCCATACCCACATGGGGACCTAATACACCCAACAGACCCGAGACCTCTCTCTCCACACATTTGTTACCCTCACTATTGGAATTCCAAAGTAGACTAATTAGAAGGGGTGGATTCGAGCCGAGCTGAGCCAAATCATATGAGGCTCGAGCTCGGCTCGCCAAGGTTGTATAAGGCTCGAGCTAGAACATTGAGCTCGAGCTTGACTCGAGTCAAAAACTCATAAGCTCAATCTTAGCTTGGCTCAGCTCGTCTTGAGCTTGATTTGAGGAAAAATATTTTATAAAATTAAAAATATTTTTATTTGACATTTAAAAAATAAGAATTATAATAATTAAAAATTATAATATTTTTATTATTATATATATATATATATATATATATATATATATATATATATTCGTACTCGGCTCACTTATTAATCGAGCATGTAAATTGGACTCGAACTCGGCTCGAAGCTCGGTTAAAACCAAGTCGAGCCGAACCTTCCACGAGCCAAGCTCAAACTACTCGTGAAAAGCTTGGCTCGTTACAATAACATGATCCTTCCTTTGTAGGGAACCCCTCCGATGGTTTAGTCAGTTCCTTTTCTTCTCTTCTTTTTCCTCCCATTCGGTTCACGATGCCACCATTTTCCTCAAACTTTCATCATTAGACCATAAGTATCAAATCCACTAGCTTACTGTTAGACAATGTATGCCCTTAGCTCCAATCAGAATGATGTACATTATGATATTTAATGTAAATGAATAAAGTACATATTTGATTCATGTTATTATGGTGTGTTTCTGTGTAATACCCTTAAACTGGACACATACGAGACTCGTGTTAGTTTAGAATCTTCACAGCCGTTGGATAGATCTGGGGAGATTTATCCTGCCAAGGCTGACACTGATGTGCCGCAGAGTTGGTTGGGGTGACTTGTCTCAGTTTCCAAGGTGAGACCTGAGGTACATGTAGTGTGGGTTTTCTTGAAACCCTGAACCGGACCAGAATTTCAGTATTGCCTTGGACCTTAGAGATAGATGGGCAAAACTGGAATGTTACACCTGATCCCTACACTCGATTATGATACTACACCAGGTGTCGGATTGGGTTGTCTTTGATATGCCAATTAGTGAGATCCTTAGAGGGGGTCAAAACTTAGGTATGTTGGGACATTCCGAGAATTCATCTGAGTGGGTGATCATAGTGGCAGGATCACCCCCTTTGTCGGACAAAGTGAATGATCGGGGACGCACTCTCTTTGATGGAACCTAAATTGTCGGCAGTTGATTTCAACCGTTGAAATTTATTTTGCAAAATATATTTATATAAAGATATATATATATATATATATATATATATATATATATTATGGTTTCAAAATGTTTGCAAAAGGTTTTAATTCCCGGGATCCATGTGAGTAGAGAGTGCAACACCGTACCTTGCACCCAAGGGAGAGGTCCTCTCTTGTCGGGCAGTGTTTGATCATTATGGGCWGAGAGGTTAAGTGTAAGACCATTGAGAGTAATACCTGATGGCCTAATTTTGCATCTACCCACAATCCTTGGGTTTTTGTAAGATGGCTTGACCCAATGACCATTTAGTGTAAATGTTGGGCCCATTAAGAGCCCATGGTGATGGACTCAGGGATTCACTGTTTCCTACAGTGAATTCAGGCAAGCCTTGTAACAGAGGCTGGGCTGAACCCATGTGGCTGATGTGTAGATCAATGTTTGGGTCCCACGCCATACAAGGATAGCCAACTGGGCAGCAGTTAGGAGGTTAAGTGAGCACATAGACTTAATGAGCCTAAAGCCCAATTCGAATTGGCTTAATAAGATTAATTAATTAGGGGCGTTCTGGGATTTAGATCAACATATAGGATAAGGGATTATCCCTATCCACTCAGAGAGTCCAGATCCAAATAAAGATTTGGATCAGGAAACTCCTAATTTGATTAGTAAGGCTGATATTTTTCTGCAAATAAGATAAGGGATTATCCTTATCTCTTAAAGAGAGTCCACATTCAAATACAAGATTTGGATTAGGAAACTCTTAGTGGGATTAGGAGATTCTCTCTTTAAAGGCTATAAATAGAAAAGCAGGGCGAACCTTTAGATCATCTCACA